GGTAATCATACCCGACCTAACAGAAGCTTAGGAGTGAGTGCGTGAAGTGGTTATAAAAGGCTCTCTACCCCCTAAGAACAAGGTATGTGAACTTTGTGCCATCTGGTTTTATCTTGCCTTTGAGAGAATACTAACTTGAGCTTCGGAGCAATCTCACTGGGTTCCTCCCCGGAGATTCCTCACCTTCTCCGTTTCAGGCACCTGTTGCTCCTGTCAGAGGCAAGGTCGTTGACAGTTAGGACCGACCGGATTGCGCACCATCACAAAAGTTTACATAGAATTCAAAATATTATTAAATTCAACACCTAATACATAATGCTAATATGCTTTCTAACAATATGTAGGTCGGGTTGGTTGGTTTTATTAGTTTGATGAACCATCCTAGCTGAAATTATTTAGTGTTTTTATTTGTATTGAAAAAATTATTAATAATATATAAAATATAAATAATTATTAATTATTTAAAAATTAAAATATAAAATAATTATGTATTTGTATTGTTTAGCATTCACTTAACAAATATAAATAATTGTAAAATAATTGTATATATATATATAATGTCATCATAAGGTTAAACCACTATACTCTCCTTTCTATAATTCAATATTTGATTGTTCTCTAAACCTTATATATTATTGATTAGAAGTAATGGAATAATGACCTATTTGACCCAAGGGTTTAAATCATTGACATTACAAGAAAATTGAGATCTAGCAACAAACAAAAATTGTGCTCAAAAGAAGTAAGGTTATTTTGTAGCATATAAACTATGCTCAAAATAAGAGTAAGCATTTTAGCCATTTGAAAATTTTCTCACTTGGACATAGTTTTTGGTGTTTAAGCTTGTACCTTCATTAGAACCACAAATTTTATGGCCGGGCCTATGCTTATTACTTTAAGCTTGCCTTGGTCCTCACTCGACCCACATATATTTAAATATATGTATATTATAGATAATTTATAATTATGCCTATATTTGTAATTTTTTATTATATCATCTATTTTATAATAATACGATATTTATAATATATAAAATAAATTTATTTGTATATTATCATTTAATATAAAATATTATATGTATATATAAAACGATTCAGTCTACATGTCATCTTACTCCTCTTCAAATTTTGTTCCAAAACTCCTCTTTGCTAATTTTATAAATTTTTTTTAATTCTACTTAATTAAGCAAGTACTTCACTCACGTTTCGGGAGATTTTCCCACCCCAACGAACACTTTTAACTCGACTTTCATAGCCGTGATTAGACCTATTCATGGGCCGGGTGGCCCGACGGGCTGGCCTGGCCCCCGGATGGGCTTGAACAGGTTATATGGGTCCGCGGGTTTAACCTTGGGCCAAAAAGCCCAGCTCACAATAAATTCGAGTTGGGCTCAGGATTTACCAAAATAGACCGGCCCGAGCCCGGCCTGACCAGACCTATAACTAAACCTAAAATCCCTATTCGAATACCCCTCATTTTTTCACCTCTTTCCCTTATTTTTCCAGCCGAACCTTCTTCTCCACATTTTTTTCCCTTCTTTATATTATTTTTTTAATGTAAATAAATTTTGAATTTATATTCTTTTTTTAATATAAATAAATTATAATTTATATTGATTATTGAATAGGAAAAAATTCTAATTTCTTTTATTAGATCGGGCTTCGGGCTTTTTATCAGGCCCAGGCTCGGGCCCGAGTTGTAGGTCTATTGGTCGGGCTCGGGCTCGGGCTCGGGCTCGGGCTCAGGCCTAACATATTTCCATTAATGAAAAGCAAAAGCCCGGCCCATAAACAAGTCTAATCGTGATATACTGGTATTCCTTGCTGTTTTATGTTATTTTTGTAACTTAAAGAAAATTATTTCCTTACTACGGACGTTTATTGTTCACCTTTGAAGGTTTAAACTTGGAAAGGAGCTTCAAGATTCAATGTGGAGATAGATAGAACAATGGCTGAGCACCGACGTTTAAAGCTTTAGAAACGCCCCAGTACGTTTCCCTCTTTTCTCTGTCGATTTTCCTCTTCTCTTCTCTCTCTCACTCTGTCAAGAACCTACAGCATCGAAATCTCCCTGTTACTCACTCTGGTATACCATCGGCGTTTATCCCTCGGTCTTTCTCTATCTCTCAATCTCTCGGTATATATTACAAGAACCCTACACTTGGAGACGAAATACACCAAGTATTCTAGAGAAGAAGATAGCCGTCGTCACCACCGGGTTTTCCTTTCTTGTGAAACAAACAAGTTAAAGTGGCATTACGACAGCTTCATGTTTACGAGTCTGTAGAGAAGTGGTCGCTCAATGATTGGCTTCAGGACAAGAGGTATAAGAATTATTTTCCCCTCTTGGATGGAAATAAAGAGTTCAGATTGTGCAATATATAGCAAAGGGCTTAGTTTTGTCATTAGCAATTTACATATTATTAAATTCAATATCTAATAGATAATGTTAATATGTTTTCTAACAATATCTAACTCATACCTGGGTTGTAGAATACAACGCCCCTTCTCCATACAAGTTGAATAGTTAGGCCCACTCTGCAACTCACCCCTACTTGTTAATTTTGATTTTGGCCATCTTTGGATACGGCTGTTTTGTCTTCTACTTATGAGACTCTTTTTCCTCCTTAAGTTTGTCCCTTTTGGGATTTTGGGCCCTTTCTTTCTTTTTGACCATAAAAGGCTACATTAATCCTGTTTTTTCCACTCAACTCTTTTTATTGCCAATATCCAACATTAAATAATAAGACAGGTATTTGAAGAAGTGTTCTACGTTTGTATTAGAAAATTTCATTCCAAGCTGAATACAACTCAAAAAAGTACTTTGTTTTTTCTCATTATTGAATGCACCACATATCAATGTTTTCAACCCATTTGGCCTTGTCGGATGGGTAGGTGGTGAGTGGTGACTCATTCACAATTAAAGTGCAACTCGGGTGGATTCGAATTGGGCTCTTCTTAAAATTTCAATGGGCCCAACTTTGAATGCGCAAGCCCGAGGCAGTGTACAATGTTAACTCCAGCTCACAACTCACAATTAACTCCTAACATACTACGTTAAAAACAATGCTCACAAGATCGATGACCCATTAACATGGATGATTAAACAACTGATCTCTTTGACCTGTCCAATCGATTATTAATTTTTTGTATTATTATTATTATTTAAATTTTATATGATGATATCATAAATAAATTTGTTTGACTCGAATGACTCTTGACTTCCTAATCACCCTGGCTAACTTAACCATCAGATTCTATGCCCCTAAGATCACACCTCGTGGCTTTTGATATCTTTTGGTGCTTGTAGGTGGGACCCTCGACCAAGACATTTTGAAAATTCTCTAATCACCTTTTTTACTATCTTTGGTATCATTAAGATGTATATTATTTAAAATCATAAAAACAAATATTATTCTTCTACTACCATTGTCTTTCTAGCATCATAGATTTTCCCATATATAGGTCGGGCTTTAAAAAACTTCTAGACCGGGGGTAGGTTAAGCGGGCTCAAGATTTTTCTTTTGCTTGAATTGGGTCCAACAGAGATTAGTTATGAGCTTGATGAGGGTCTGAGCTAGCCTGGCCTTGGAAAGAAGTCATCTGCCCAGGCCGGATAATGCTGGATTGGGCGGAGATGATGATCAACTCTAGGATCAAGTGGGAACTGTGAATTCTCTAGTAGTAGAGAGTCAAATATAAAACACCTAAAATATGTAGGGGAGAAGTGTAAGCACATTGAAATCGTAGGGTTTAACTACAAAGAGTGAGTAGCTTAGGACAACTTGGGAGGCCATTAATATGGTTATTAACTACATAGATCAAAAAATTGTCATAGAAGGTGACTCTAAGTTAGTAATCGATTGCCTCAATGATAGACTTTCGCCTTTACAGAGAATGGAAAGTATCATCAAAGAATGCTAAAACCTAATTGACTTCTTCAACTTAAATATCAAATTCAAGCATATGTATCGGGAAGCAAATTAAGTAACAGACTGATTAGCTCGTGAAGCTCTTAACAACCAAGAGTGTAATAGTAAATTTAAGTTCAGTGATTTTCTTTTTATTTGTGATGCGTATGTAAGGGGAAGAACTGCCCCCATGTTTATGTGGCTCATCTTTTGCTATAAAAAAAAAAAATCGTAGAATTTAAATGAAATAAGATTTTTAAAGCCAGCGGTCTTTAAACCCACTCATTTGAGTAATGGGTCAAAATGAGCCATTAGGGTCAAGTGAAAAAGGGTTGGGTCAGGGTGGGTCATGGGTGAGCATGGGTTATTACACTTCTTTCTTGTTTAGGCCTTAGGGTTTGAAAATGAGAAAACCGAACATAACCCTCTCCCTCACTCTCTCCGCCTCCACCCTCTCTGTCTCCACTCCTATGCCTCCGTCTCTCCGTCTCCAGCCCTTCTCCGGTAAGCAGAGATGCTGTCTCCGACTCTCCGACCATGCATTTATATTCGCAATGGGCGTTTCTGTTGTAGATCTTCAAGATGTAAATCAAGTTTACAGCGGCCATCGCCGGAGAAACCCCATCACATAGTTAATCAAGTTGCAGATATCCAATCTCTAGCCGCTGCTCTTGGTTCTAACGAGAGTGAGTGAGTAATAGGATCACTTCCTCCACTACTTTAAAAGCAAAACGACTCCTCTTCATCTTCTCCCAAGTTTCACTTCTCTGAATGAAATTAATGACAAGAACCACGATATGAATGATGAGATTTGGATTGCTATCTAGTTATCTAGTTATCTTACAAGTTAATTATATCTTCTCTTTTGAATAAAATTCCTTGGATTTCTATGTAAATGTTGATGTTCCCCAGTTTAATGGTGGAACCAACACCATGAGACATCCTATGAATCATAGGATCAACTAGGCTGTAATTTGGTATTTTTATATATTGGTAATGAACTTCAAATTTATGTGGTAGATAAACAATTCAAGCTCCAAAATTTTCTACATTGTCTTACAACAATGGCTTTTTACCTTACACGTTCAAAAAGCAACCTCCCAGTTTTGCATTTTCTACATTTTTTTTGCAAAAAATTTTGTATTTTTTTGTAAATTTTTACAATTTTCATTTTCTATAATTTTCTACAATGTTCTATTAATTTTTGCATTTAAGCATTTTCTCCAGAATTTTCCATTTTCTTATTTTTGGTTGAAATTTTGGAATTGTTTATCATTTGATGTGTATTATGCATTTTTTATCATTCAATGTATTTTCTATGATTTTTACTTTTTTGGTTATATATATTAAATTTTTATCATTTTCTGTATTTTTTGGCAACATCTGAAATATATAATTTTCTTTTATTTTTTACCATTTTTATGTATTTTATAAAATTTCTTACTTTTGGCTGAAATATATGTTTTTTTTTTATAATTTTATGTGTTTTCTGATTTTTTTATCATTTAATGTATTTTCTACAATTTCTATATTTTTTTCTTGTTTTTATGCAATTTCTATTTTTCTTTATTTTTGTAATTTTTGCAATTTTTTTGCATTTTTCTGAAACTTCTTGCAATTTTCCTATGTTTTGTGCAATTTTCTATGTTTTTCACAATTTCTCTTTTGTAGTTCTATTTAGTTTTTTTATTATTTCCTAAGTTTTTCTGAATTTTCTGCAATTTTTTATATTTTACAGAAAATGTATATTTTCACCATTTTTTGTGTTTTAATGTTTTTTTTATTTTTTATTTGAAAAAATTGAAAATTTTGTCTTTTAATTGAAATATATAATGTTATGTTTTGTCTTTTAATTGAAATATATAATCTTATGTTTTTATGCAAAGCATAGAGAAAAATGGGTTTAAATTGAGCTAGAGGGTTGAATGGGTGGGTTAGGGTGGGTCAGGGTCATTGGGTCAAAGTGGGTTGTGACCCATTCTGACCCACTAACATGGGTCGGAAATGGGTGAGTGGGTCAGTATGGGTGGGTTGGTACTCAGCCCACACCCAGCCCAACCCAACCCAACCCACCCATTGGCCACCCCTAGTTCTCAGCCGCTGCAAAACCAGAAACCTTCAATGGTGAGGATTTCCAGGGTTTCTGTTAAAACCATGCAGATGAGGTTTTTAAAGAGAATTAAGCATTACTAGAATGAGTTTGGTGTTTTGTTTGTCTGCTTTCACTTTTCCTTTTCATTGATTAAGGTTTTGCTGAATAGAACTTGGAGTTATTTAGAGGAGCAGCTAAATCAAATAGCTAGAGTGTAGGGGTTTCTTTGTGTCATGCCTTCTTTTGTAACCTGTTTCCAGTATTTATTGAATAAAATTTGCAGAAAAACGTGGTTTTGTAATCAATTTCTAAAAGTTTCTGTATCACGTATAGTTGAAGCTCAAGAATTTCAAGAAGAAAGCAGTAACAGTCCATCTCAAAACCCGAATACATTCGCCGCCTTGCAGTGTAAAATGAAGGACTATGCCACTTATGGTTTGGCCCAAGAAGCTTGGGACACCTTGAACGACATGAAGAGGGTATCCGGGAAACCTACTGTGTATGACTATAATGCATTTTTGTACTATAATCTGAAATCGGGTAATCTATCAATAGAAGATTTAGTTGAAGTCCATGGTAGGATGAGAATACTTGGGCCATCTCCCAATGCCCTGACTTTTAATACTCTCCTGAATGGATCACTTTCTTTGGGTAGCTTGGAAGGAGCATTTTATTTCACAAAGGAGATGTGCAGAAATGGATTTGTTCCTTCTTTTAGTTTTTTGTCAAAATTGTTAAAAAGATCTCTGGAATTGGGAGATTTAGTATATTCTCTTGATGCATTAGAGTTGATGTTGGATTTGGATTATTTTCCGACAGAACCCACTTCAAATTTATTGGTTAATAGCTTCATTAAGTCAGGAAAAATGCATGAGGCATGTTTTCTGCTCTCTTTACTTTCTGATAAGTGTTTTCTACCCAGCATGCACCACAGTTACAACTCAATTATCTGGGCTTTGTGCAAATCTGGTCAGACTTGTGTTGCTTCAGCTTTGTTTTGTTCTCTGAAAAAGAGGGGTATTGGTCATAATGTTTGTACATACACAGCCTTGGTTCATGGTTTCAGTAGAGAAGGAGCATGGAAAGAAGCTTTTCATGTTATGGATGAAATGCAGAGGGAGGGATGTAAGCCTAATGTTGTTACATACACTATACTGGTCAAGTTTCTTTCTGATTATGGGAAGATCAAAGAGGCTCAGGCCCTGCTGAATAAGATGGAAAGGGAAGGTTGTGACCCGGATTTGGTCACTTACAACATAATGCTGCATGCACTTTGTCGTCAGGATAAAATTCGAGAAGCTTGTGATCTGATTGAGATAATTGAACAAAAGGGGTTACATCCAAACTCATTCACTTATAGTGCTTTGGTTGGAGGGTTGTTAAAAGCTGGCAGAATAGGGAGCGCGAATAAGCACCTGCTTGATATTCTGCCCTTCTGAAATCATTCTACTCATCATTTTCAGCTTCAAGATTGACTTGATTGATGTTGATGTTAGTGATGCTCTCTGCCGGGATGTTGACCATCAAAAGAGGTAATGACTATTACCATTGGATGACTCCGGAATTAATTATAGGATTTTACATGTTTCATATAAATACAGCTATTGACTGCTGATTGTTCTTTTAGTGTAGGCATTTCTTTTACCAATAATAGAAAAACTACTTTCTTGTCATCAATCTCCTTATGCTGTCACTTTTTTCCTCTAATCATTAAAAAAGAAAAATGGGAAAATTGTAGAGCTTCTCATTTTATTTTGGTATTGGTTTTTATGAACATGATTTCACAATTATTTTGTTTCTCAAGAACAATTTCACAATTATTTTGTTTCTCAAGAACAATTTCACAATTATTTTATTTAATAGCCTTATGATCAGTAGTATCTTTAGCATATTTACTTTCAATCGTTTAGCCTGTCTTTCCATATAGTGAATATGTTCGTTTTACTTCAACCTTTTACCTTCTCTTGTTTTGGATAGGAAAATGTAACTTTGATTAGCTTAAAAGCAGAAATACAACTGTCTCCTACAAACAGGGGTGGGGCCAAGTATATTGGTGGGGGGTCCTTGGGCCCCCAAACTTACTAAAATCATTAGTTATATGTTTACTAAGTGGAGGCATGGTAAAAAATGTAATAAAGTTGGTCCTTGGCCCCTCCAAAATTTGAACTAAAATATAAAAGATAACTCTCTAACGTTCCTCCAACTCCCAAAACAAAAGAAATGTTTATTTTTTCTTTAAAAAATCTCTAGTAGATCCAACCTTCTCAGTCCTTTTTTCTTCAAACCCTACTTCTTATATTTCCCTATCTCATTTTTTTGTTTAACTTGCCCCCCTAAAATAAATTTTCTGGCTCCGCCACTGCCTACAGAAATATAAGATGAACCCTGATCATAAAATCAAATTACAACACAACCCAAAACAAAGTCTCCTGATTCACCCCTTGCTTTGTTAGAATGTGAGCTAAAGCATTTGCTGACGGATGACCTCTTAGTCCAAATAACACGTGCACCCAACTCCCTTGTGAGGCTCAGTAATTCCCTTATAGGTTGTCTAAGGGACCATGTTCCCAAACTATTTGTTTGCAACCATCCTACTACTAACTTTGAGTCTCCCTCCTTTCTAGCTGTTGAAAGCCCGATTGCTTAGCCAACCTGAGCCCTTCGAGGAGAGCCATTACTTCTGCTCTAAGTGAGTCCCCCAATCCTATTGGCCCGGACTACATAGCCTGGATTCTTCCTCCCACATCTCTAATACACCCCCAATTCCGGAGGGGCCACGGTTCCCAATCCCAACAGAGTTGCCATCAAAGTTTAGTTTCACATTACACTGCAAAGGAGGGGACCAAACTGCTTTTGTGGTTGAGGATGAAATAGAAGACCCTGCTATTATACTCCAACCTGTAGTCAAGTCATCTATAGAGACATCCTTGAACAAGTCTAGAGTTTTCAGCCAAAGTATGGCCTTGATGGTGATCCCTTCTATAAGTTCAGGAACTGATTTTTCTTTGCCTTGGAAAATCCTGTTGTTTCTCTCTTCCCGAACTGTCCACGGGATAGTTGGCCTTGCTGCTCTCCACATCACCCTACCAAAGTGTCAGGGGTCTAGGAAGTGCTACAAAAAGAAGACTGGTTAGAGTGTTGTTGAAGAAAGTAAATCCAGACATAAATTTTTATTCAGTAATCTAAGGTGCAGGAGGTTGATAGAAAGTGGATTAGGAGCTTTTGGGGAGAAAGAAGCTGCTAGTGGAGTTTTGCACCAGCATGGGGTGCATTAGGAGGAATAATAACAGCCTGGAAAGAAGACCTGTTCACTTGTTGTGAAGAGCTAGTGGGAAGATTTCTGTCTCGGTAATAACAGCCTGGAAAGAAGACCAATGTTTATGAACCAAACTAGAACCTCCCTAGCTCATTGTCAATCTCCTTAACTAAGCCAAAAAATCACTAAAATTATTTAGACTTGTGAGCGGCTGAGCACCACACAAAAGCTCACCTGTATAACCTACTCAAAACAGGAACCTACTAGTCCTCTTTGAACAGCCGAATAGAGGGACTTAGTAGCCAATAATGTAATCTCCACCACAAATCCACCAAAGCATGTAGATGGGTCTTATTTCCTTTTTTTACTTCTTTGATTGTCTTGCAGCACTTTCACTTGTGTAGAAATAAATAAAGAAATAGGATTAATCTCAGGTAACTAACAGTGCACTAATACCATGAAAGTAACCTAAAACCAATCATATAATAATGAAATAGGGAGAGAGGAAAAGTTAAGTGAAAGAGAAGATGAACAGAATAGAAGAGAGAAACAATGGGGAGAAAAATTCAATCTCACCCATCTGCCAACCTCCTCCATTTATGATGTTAAAATTATGTCCAATAACCAAAGTAATCCTCCTTAAGTAATATAAGATAAAATATCAAATCTTCCCTGCCACCTACAAGTATTAACACATCTAACAAGAAGTAATAAGATAATTGAATCATTAGAATCATCTAATTGAGTTATATGGTGTATGGGATATTAAGCGATAATACTCATTTATAGGTTCTTCCCCTAAAAGTAGCCTATCCTATTGTTACAGGTTATCCATATGTACTATTATTGTCCTCTGGAAATGGTATCTGTTCTGTTTCTGTAGATTGGCTCTATATCCACTAAAATTCTGAATTCTGTAATTTTAATTCTCTGACAATGACATTCATGTATTGTTTAGCATGGTGTTCTCTTGGTGGTAATATTTGATAAGGTTTTCAATGTGGACTCTTCATACTTCTCTGTGTTTCTATATGCCACACTTCTGCTTTCTTGTTTGGGGTGTTTAGTGATTGGTATAGCAGCTTGTATCACATGGGCACAATTTGTAAATGATTTATATATTTTTCTCGAATACTAAAACAAATGCCCCTTGCTGTTAAAAACAAGGAACTTGTAGATGCACATAAATACCACATCACGGAAATTGGTTTGAAGTCAAAAATCATCATTATATGTTTGGATTGTTTAGAAAGAAGGGAAGGTACAGGGATTAGAGTAATTACTCCTTCTGAATGTTTTCTCCAATTTAAGGAATTTTAAGGTGGTAAGGGAGGGGTTGGGGTATTACTTCTGAATATCACAATCACCATTTCTATTGGTTTGAAAGAAAGGAAAGAACCATTAAGCACAAATCTTCAGTTAGCTGATCCATATAAAAGGTGAAGGGTCTTCAGAATATTTTCCTTTTTTTTCCACCTTTAAGTGGATTTCCCTTCTTTTTAAGGGGAAGAGAAGGTCGGTAGCAATTTGAGGTAGATATATATCCTTGACCATCCTATGGTTGGTCAAGGATCCTTTCATGCATTGTGTTAGGTATCAAGGAAAATCCATATTGGCTTCAAAAGGGACTTCTCTTTTGATGAATAAATAGAAATATCACCTTGTAAACCAATTATCCAATCATTCCCTTGATTTTCTAGGTTATCTTCCAAGTGTATGATTAAATCATTCATTGGCAAGGAGTCAAATGTTAGAAAATTCATATCTAATAGATATTGCTAGTAAGAAGTTTAAGAACGTTGTCTCGATTGATCCTCTGATTGGATCATTGTTTAAAGCAAAATTTTGTAACATATCAGGGCATCCCACATTGACTCGAATAGTCTTACATATGAAGTTTTGAGTAGTAATTAGTAATCACTTTATGTAGAAACAGCTTTATTATTTCTTTCTGTGGAATTTTTTATTCTAAAACTATTCATCCAACTCCTTGTTTGTCATTCCAGGTCAATTACCTTGGCCGCATCCCCTGGTACCCTTCCTGATATTAAGGTGTTGTAACCATTTGCTTGTGGGGCATTGATTTTTAGAAGTGCTGCATGTACAGTGAATGATATTCTGGGTCGTTCTCCAAGGTATTTATTTAACTGATGTTTGGTCCCTGGTTAAAAATTAAATTTTGATCTTTCCCCATTTTACTGAGGAAATACATTTATGGTTTGTGCATGTTCTATATTCACCTTCTGAGCTTCAGTGAAGTATGATTACTGGTTAAGGGAACCATGCGATCTTATGTTTTGGGTGTTGAACTGACAAAGCATTATGTACAGCCATATTTTGCTATTTTGTTTTCATGTATAAATTTATGACTACACATAATACTATAAATTCAGTATGTTGTTTTTTTTAAATATCATTTTTTCTAATATATTATCATCTTTCATTATCCTCAATGGGGTCAATGAGGGGAACCAGTATGGGGGGCTCCTGAAGATTATGATATCAGAGTATAGATGCCAGATCTTTGATATTCAGATTTAGCTCTTGTTCCATTTTGGTTTCTAGATCAGCCATTCCTGTAGGTGACAGTTTAACCAGACGGGGTTATGATAATTTATTAGGAATTTAGGATCTGTTTGACACATTAAAGGTAGTCCCCCTTCCTGTTTTGGTGTTGGGTATTGAGGATAAGAGCCTTGCACATTTTGAAGAAACATGATAAGGATAGATAGACTTTCCTGGTTGTATTCTGTAGGTGACAGTTTAACCAGATGGGGTTATGATAGTTTATTAGGATATGCTTGACAAGTTAAAGGCAGTCCTGCTTCCCTTTTTGGTGCTGGGTATTGACTATTGAGGATAAGAGCCTTGCACGTCTTGAAGAGCGAACGCATGATAGGAGCCTTACACTCAATTATCTGTTACAATAATCCCTTACACGCCCCCTCAAACACATGTGGATCAGGGATGATTCTGCATATGTTTGACAAAATTGCTGCTATTTGATGATGTCTCCAAACCTCCAAGCTTGTTGCGATGATGGTATGTGGCAAGAAGTTGATTTTGATGTCCTGCTGCTTCTTCAAGAGCAAAAGCCTTCATAGGCTGGTTATTGAAAATATTAATGGGCCAACATGGGCCAAATGTAAATGGGCCCGTGGGGTCGTCACCCGGAGGGGTTGAACCAGCTTGGTTCTTTTATGTAGTCGCCACCTAAGTTTTTAAAAAAGGAACCTCGGAAAACCTGGTTTTATTTTGATAATGCTTCATAGCTGACTCAATTGCCCAGTGTATACAGAGATTCCATATGGGGGTTTGGGGAACAAGGTATGGTGTCGGAAGGTGCTTGGCACCCACACTCACCCTGTTTAACCAACCTCTACTTAACCAATATTTCAAGAAAGAATTTATAACTTTTGGACTTCAAATTTTTATTAAAATTTATATACACTAAAAGAAGGATAACTAGATGTGAGATTTACTAAAAGAAATAGAAACTAGCAATTAAGATAAACAAATAGACAGATGAAATCCAAGTAAGGGACAAAATTAACAAACTGCATTAACAGAATGAGTAAGAGGTTTTACTAAACCAATGAGCTAATCATAAGGAAAGTGCTAAATTAACAAAAGCGAATGACAAAATTCCTAAGCAAGTAAACTGAATCAGGAAAAAAGCTAAACTAACTAATAAACTGAAGAAATGGTATGTTGCAAAGGAAAAGAACCACATCATTGCGATTAGGTGACTAACATGAGGATGATTAAGAATACAGACATGAAACAAGCTAAAATCTAATTTAAAATGGTCAAATGGACAACTAGAGAAGTATTGACACTAAGAAATGATAAGAAACATTAAAACCAAGCAAGTATGATAATGAGCAGTCCTAGGAGAACATGAAATGAGATATCCATGAATTGAGTGAGGAAGAGACTGACCTGTTGAGCACTTAGCAAGCAATGAATTATCTTATTGATTCCAATCAAATCTAGCCAGCTGAGTAGAATGAATGAAGAACAATACAATGATTAAATGTTGCTGAAACTTAGAGAGTTGATGATGGAGAATTCAATTTCTAATGAAAACCACTATCCAGAAAAATGAAATGAAGGAATTCTATCATGTAAGATTACATGAAACTTAGAGTATTCATGGGTAACTCTATGCATAAAACTATGATGTAATGTTAATAGAGAATGCAATTAGAATAAATGGTCTTATCTCCAATAAATAACAGTAGTTTGGTTGGCCAAATAGCCTACAACTGAACTAAACAAGCTTGTGAACACTCCTAATTTTAGCTAAATTAATAGTCTAATCTCCAATAAATAACAGTAGTTTAATCTCCAATAATTATTGAAAATTTATAGCGAAAATACACAATTGTTGAAAATATATTGATAATGAAAATACAATAAATACAATAGTTACAAAAATACAATAAATACTAAAAAATATATTAACTTAGTCAATAAATATTATAATCTCAAATAATAGTTTAATCTCTAATAAATATCAATCAATAAACTATAAAAATGCAATAAATACAATAAGTACAATAAATTAAATTCAAGAAGTTAAATAACAGTAATTTAATCACAATAATTATTAAAATTTTCTATTAAATAACAAAACAAAAATAAATTTATACATATTTATTGAAAATATATTTATCACAAAAACTATAAATAATTGCTGAAAATACAATAAAATTTAATTTTAGTACATATAAATATATAATAAATATAGATTAAGATTTTAAAATCATTATTAATAAATATTGTTTTTTTTTAAAGTTATTTTTCTAGATTTATTAATTGATATAAGTGAAATTGGTTTTTATGATATTATTTAGTTAATTAATCATTTTTTAAATTTATAATTTTAGTTATTTATTGAATTTAATAATCCATAAAATTATAATTTATACTATTATTACATAATTTCATTTTTTATTTTGTATATTATTAAATTATTACTATTAATTTGACAATTATGTTATGATTATTTTTTATTTTTAAGAAAATTTTTAAATCTATTACATAATTTTGTTATTTTAACTATTTAAAATATAGTTATGTTGATTATTTCGTTATTTAAAGTATTTAGTTATATAAATATTCAAATAATATATAAAATATTTAAAAATTTTCATTATTTGAATTTAATTTATTTTAAAGTTATTACAGATTATTAAATATTTTGTATATAATTATTTAGATATTTTTATTATTTTACTATTTAAGATGTTTAGTTATTGAAATATTTAAATAATTTTTTAATGTTAAATTTCTGTCATTTGAATAATCCTTAAAATCTTAATTTATATTACTAATACATAATTTTGTGATGAATTTTGTAAAAATATAATTACAAATATATTAATAATATAATTTTGTTAGAGTTTTTAAATAATTTTTAATTTTTTTTAATTTAAACTTACTTTAAATAGATATAGATAAACAGTGGGGAAGAGGATAAATAGGATCTAGAGATAAGTTAGGAGATAAATAGGAATTGGAGATGATTTAGGTGAAAGTGTAGTTTAGGAGTAATTTTAGGAGAGGAGATTGTTGGGAACCTGTCGGTGTGAGAGAGAGATTTTAGATAATTTTTTATGGGGAAGGAGAGCATCTCATTGGTTGTTTAAAAAATGACATGGAATAAAAAGTTCAAATTCCTAGACTTCATTGTTTTAATATATATATATATATTCCTGATTTATTAATAAAAAATATTTTCCTGAGCTGGTAGATGTTTCAGCTTAAAGTTAATTTGGAAAGGCATGCATGCCTGACATTTTTCTGTGTGTAAACTGATGAACTATGAAAACTTGATTATATGAGAAGTTATTTTTCCCTGCAGGTTGAGCGCACAAAGTCGCAGCCAATTGCAAGTGGTCTTTTGATACCATTTCAGGGCCTTATCTTTCTTGGGTGTCAAATGCTTTTGTATCTTGAATTTCTCCTTCAGCTAAACAATTATAGGTGAATATTGTCTTTATTTTCTTTTAAAAGGTGCTTTCTAGATGTCATTGGCTGCTATAATAGTAACTTATTTAATTTGGCCTAACTTGGGCATGTTTTATGTGCACCACTCTATTTGAACAGCTTGGGAAATTGATTGAATGTCTATATGAATGTTGAAGTGCCTTCATAATAAAAAGGGCAAACCAGTGCACGAGGCTCCCACCAATGTGGGTCTGGGGAAGGACAAATATATGCAGCTTTGCCTGAAGATACACAGAGGTGATGTTTTCAAGATTCAAACCCTGGTAACCCAGGTCGCAATGAAGCAACCCAACTGTTGTGCCAAGGCCCACCCTTGCCTTCATATTATTCTATATCTTAATATCCTTGTAACCTTTCTGTATTCTGTAATGATTGTGCCCACAATGAATTGAAATATATGCAGGTTTGATAGGTTGTTTCAATTTAAATCCATTGGTATTGTCAAGAATGAACATTATCTAATGGCCTAGAGCTGCATGGGAAATTTTGGGTGTAGGTCAGCAACTATGAACTTCTTGGACTCGACCCCCTGGCTCTAATATCATGTAGGCTTCTGTAGGCTGTTCCTGTATGAGAAGAAAGCAGGAGAAAACTATGGTTTTCAAGGAGTATCTTATCAACTCCTCAACCCAAAGCTATTCATATTAGAGTTGAAAGAAGCATTTACAATTGCACCCTTATACAAGTAGGAAATTGCAAGTATGCCTTCTATAACTGAAATTACAAAAATTCTCTTAAACGTATCAGAAAATTTAACATTTCTCAACATTTCCTGAATATCTTTTTCCCCTTTTTAATATGGATTTAGCTATTTTTTCATTAGATTATCATGCCAAAACTATTGTTGAGGATGGGTGATGTAGGCATGAGATTCCTTTTGAAATATTTCTAAATTTTGTTATAGTTATTTGAGAATTAGGTCAGATCAATTTCTGAGAGGACACATTTCTTTTTCAATTGCAATTATTTGGAGCTAATAGATTCCATGTTTTCCATTATCCGAGTTTTGGGGGCACCATCATTGCTTCTTGCATTCACCTATCCCCTCATTTAGAGGGTGACACATTGGGTAATAACATTACTGAATATATGCCAGTGCATGAATTTTTTCCCTTCTCTCTCTCTCTGCTATCTATTTTGATGACTAGTATTTCATGTTTAATGATGTGGTTTTTCATGCATGCAGCCTCAAGCATATTTAGGTTTAACCATCAATTGAGCAGCTTTATTAGGATGGGCTGCAGTCAGAGGAAATCTGGATTTCACTGTTGTCCTTCCACTATATGTTTCTGGAGTGTTTTGGTCACTTGTATATGATACAATTTATGCTCATCAGGTAGGATAATTCAACTCCATGTATCAGTCAAGCTGAAATTTGTTAATCTATTGTTAAGTCACCCAAGACATGAACTTTTGTGTTTGCTCCAATATAGGGAAATTAGATATTTAAGTTGTAGGAATTAGTTTCTCATCTTAAATTGCAAGATGCTGCAGTTTCTTATTAAGGGGATGCTTGCAAGACACACAAAGATGCAACAGCACACTTTCCACAGATGCATTGCTAGTGGCATTACATGGACTGAGAGTGGGTGGATCACTAAATTATAGCAATATAATGGTGGAAAAGGATTATATGGTGATCATGGGTTTGTTGAAGAATAACAATTAAGGACTGTAGCATACATCACGAGGGATAAGATACCTAGTGAGGGAATTGTGAATCACTTTCTCTTGGGCTAAAGCTTAGCAAATAGTTTATCTGATTAAATGACCTTAGAAGGGATGGTCAAGGTTTAAATTATTTTAGGGTGGTTTCTAAGAAAGTGATCCCCAAGAATAGAACCTTGATCATCCCTTCTAATATTACAAAGTGGTCCCTAAGAATAGAAAAACTAAAGGAAGACCCCCCTATGGCAATAACATACGATAAAGTGTCCCTTAATACACTTACCCTCAAGTTGGGTTGTAGATATCATACATACACAGCTTGCTACATAGCTCTTCATGGTGTAGGGAAATCAAAACTTTTGTAAACACATCAGCCACTTGCTCCCTTGATTTTACAAATGATATACAAATTTCGTCCCTTTCCACTCTTTCACTGTTGAAGTATTTGTCAATCTCAATATGCTTAGTTCTCTCATGAAGAACCCGATTGTGAGCAATACTGATTGCTGCTTTGTTGTCACAGTACAATGACATAAGATTTGAATCCCACTCCTAGCTCAATATTGCTTCTTACTCCTCCAAGAGACCAAATTTCCTCCTACAAAAGTGTAGTAACTAACAGTGGACCTTTATCATCAATAGAACCAGCTTGGTTAGCATTAGTATAACCTTTCACTTTGGTATTGCCATGTTTAGTGAAGAGAAGACTTCTACCAAGGTGCCTTTTTAAGTAGGATAGAAACTCTTATATGCCTTCTCAAGGTTGATTTTTCTGGTTTGAAGCATTTTCAAATAGAATTATTAAGCTCTTCAGATTTCTCACCTCCCTTAGGTCACACCCCTCACAGAATATTATAATGTCATCCGCAAACTGGAGATGAGTAACTGGAACTCTGTCTCTGCCTATTCTCCACCCTCTTAATGACCCCACCCTGTCTACTTCTGGTATGTGAGCCTGCTAAAAGCATTAACTACTAGTGTGAAAAAGAAAAGAGATAGAGGGTCACCTTGCCTTATCATTAACTACCCTGTTGACTAAGATAGAGTAATGGCAAGAAGTAATGCAACTATTTATCCATTTGCCATTTGTCCCCAAACTCACATATCCTTGGCACCTCTAACAGAAATTTTCAATCCACTAGATCATGGCCTTTCCAAGATTCAGTTCGCAAGTGAAACCTTGATCACCCAATCTCCTCATTTCCTCCACACATTCATTTAATATTAGAATTTGATCAATTATTTGTTTCCCTTGAACAAAAGCACCTTGAGTTTGACTAACGAGGGAGGGGAGCACCTTTTTAATCCTCAGAAATAGGACCTTAGCCAAAATCTTGTACACACTAGTCACCAAGCTAATAGGTGTGAAATCCTTAGGTTGCTTAGCCTCTTTTCTTCTTTGGAATCAAAGCTATAATGGTAGCATTGACTCCACAACTAATCATTGAGTTATCCTAGAATTCTCTAAAAACTTCGAACAAGTTTTCTTTGATTACATTCCAACAATCTTAAAAGGAAGCCATAGTAAACCCATTCGGCCTTGGTGCTTTGGATCTATTCATTGAGAAAATAGCTTGCCTAATCTCCTCTTCAAAGTTCCTTTTCAACTAGCCTTTGCTTTCTTCAATTAGTCTCTACTAGGCCCCACCTTCCAATTCTGTTCTAGTGCCTAGGGGTCTCCTCAAAATTGATTTGAAGTTATCAACAAAACCTTTGGCTATCTCCTCTTGGGAATCATAAACTAGCCCATTCACTTCAAATTTAGTTACTAGATTTTTCCTTCTCTTTCCATTAGTAGTTTGTTGAAAAATTTAGTGTTTTCAACACCTTCCTTGATCTATTTACATCTAGATTTTTGCCTTCAAGAAATTTCCTCTTGTAAAAGGACCTCTTTTAGATCACTTTTCAGTTTCCACTGCCACTCTCTTTCTTAAGAGTTCATGGTTCTTTGGGATTCCTACGCTTCCAAATCCTTTATTTGGGACATCAAGGAAGATTTCATTTCTTCTATTCTCCTAAATTGATCCAACTTTTCTCTTTTTTTTTTTGTGAAATCTTATCCATTTCCATTTCACTCCCCTTATTTCTACCCTCCACCATTCCTCAATCTTCTTCACAAAGTTCTGGTGTATCAGCCATATGTTTCAAACCTAAAGGGTTGGGGTCTTCACCTGAAAGGCTCCTGTCCTAACTCAATGGGATAATGATCATAGGTAACTTTGGGTAAATCTCTAGAAATCAAAATCTCCCAATTGTTTTCCCATCCTTCATCATTAAAAAGGGACCTATCTAACTTTGAGCAAGTTGGTGATTCATGAAAATTGGATTACGTGTAGTGACCTTCCAATAGAGGGAGTTCTTTTAACTGGCAATTATTTATAAAATCATTGAACTTCCTTATGCTTGTTGTAATGGTTTGTTAGGGATTATTTGATTCATTAGCAAAGCGAATTGCATTGAAATCCCCCCCCCCCGCCTTAGCACCAAGTACCTTCCCTAAATCCCTCTTGGTCCATATACATTAGTTAGTGCTCATGTGAATCCATCCTCCACTACCTTGAACCTTAATTACACCAAGAAGTTTCCTATTAACTCCACTACCTGCACAATATCCTCTCTCTCCAGAGTGTAACGATACCCCTGGAGCCCCCCAAGAAGGTACAAAGACCCAACTTATTCCCCTTGATTTTCAAATACTTTTTGCTCATCTTCTATCGACTTCAGCTAATTTGATCTCCTGTAGCAACACTATATCCGACTTTTCCCTTGTAAATGATCCTTAATAAGCCTTCTCTTCCTTGCACTACATAGACCCCTGATTTTCCAGCTAATGATTTTCATGAAAACAAAGATTTCTAAGCCCACCTCAAAGAGCAAGCCTCTACTTGGAGGTTTTCCTTCTCCTCCCTCTTCCACTGAATTCCAAATCTTGTCTAACTCCTCCTGGCTCTTCCTCTTGCACAAAAATTCCTTTTGTCCTTTACACTCACTTTCCCCCATGAAAACCTCCCCTTCCAATGCTGGTTCTTCCAATTGTGGTCCTAGGTTACCTGTACCAGGCACAAAACCTACATCAGTACCAGAAAATGAAATCACCTTACCTGGATGAGCGAAAGTAGTAGGCATTAAGGTTGAGGACTCTACAAGAGGGGACGAGACAAAGGCCAATCCTTCCTTATGAGGTGACTGGATTTCTGAAAGGCTTGACCAAAATTGTGTTAGTCGTATCATTAGAATCTGCCTTAGAGAGTTTTCCCCTAACTGATGAAGTTGTCTCTAGTGGCAGAGATGATTCCTATCGCTTTGGGCCTTTATCATGTCTGGGCTGCTCTAAAGAGCTGGGAATAAATTTGGGGTTCGGTGTTCCCTAGCTCTCCTCTGTAAAGGTGCCAAAATCACCGTTTCCTTAGGAGTTGAAAGATTTTGAGAGCGATTCTTCTAAGCAAGCTTTGCCATGCATCCTTGTCTTATAAAAATAACATTCGGCCATCTCGTTATGGAAGCTTTCGTCATCACTAAGAGAAATAGGTCTTGATTATTCAACACTTCTGATGCTAGATGTATTATCAGATTCTATACCCGAATGACTCTTTTCCTCTATCGCACAGTCCTCGACAAAATCATTTTCATCCTGACCCGTCAGCTCATAATCATTAAAGCACCTTGCCTCAACAGCCAGTGAGTGTTTCTTGTACCTGGGGTTGTGCCATTCCAGTGAACGGATCTTTTTCCCTTTACTTGGAACCCAAACCTAGTTTAGATTAGCCGCCTTACAACTACTAATATTGTTATTAGGGGTCGGGGGGCGAGAGTTGCTCGAAGGATAATAGGCTTTGGCTTTAGGTTATCTTCATTGGAAAGAAACTATGAACTAAGAGATGATGGCCTCAATGAAGAACCAAATTTAGGAGATTGTTTTTTGCCCCAAGGTTAAGATCCCTGTTGGGTGTAAGTGGGTGTCACACACAAGGCAAATGGTTTAATTGGAAGGTATAAGGCTCAACTTATGGCCAAGGGATATAATTAGACCTATAGTATTGATTATCTAGAAACTTTCGCTCTAATTGCTAAAATGAACTCTATTTGTATGATCATGTCTATTGTTTCCCACTATTACTCTTGGCATTTATATAAGATGGATGGGAAAAATGCATTTCTCAATGGGGATTTACAGGAATAAGTTAATATGGACTTACCTCTTGGGGTCAATTTTTCTAACAATTAAGGGAAAGTTTGACGTTTGAAAAAATCCTTGTATTGGCTCAATTCCCCTAGAGCCTAGTTTAATTGATTTAGAAATGTTATTTTGAGGATTGGATTCTCTTAATCTTGGGTAGACCACACAATTCTTAAGGAAAGTTGATGGTAAGCTAACCATGTTGATAGTACATGTTAATGATATTATTGTGATTAGTGATTACATTACAAGAATCTTTCAATTAAAATTCATTCTCTCTTGGTATGTTCTTGACTTGCTCCATGAAGCTGGGAAATTGGAATGCAATCCTTGAGAAACTTCAATTGATCATAACCACAAATTGAGTTTTACTAAAGAAGTTATTCTAGATAAAGGGATCTGTTAGAAATTGATGGGTCATCTTCTATATTTCTATTTGACTAGACCTAACATATCTTATGTAGTTAAGTGGTTAGCCAATATGTATGCATGGGCCCAAAACATTTCACATACAAACATTTAACAAAATCTTGGCTTATCTAAAAGGATGCCTTGGTAAATGAATGTTATGCTCCAATCAAGGGCACCTAAAGATTGAGGCTTACAAAAATGCAGATTGGGTAGGGTTTGTTGATGATAAAGGATCTACATCGGGTTATTCGCTCGCTCACCGAAGCTCTGAAACCCCCCTATTTGCTAATGTTGTTCATTCATTCATCTTAATAAATTATCTTCTTAAAAGTCAATTAAAATTATAAAATCATTATTTTTTTTTGTATCAGAATTAAGAATTTAAGACCCTAGTATGGACTTGTTTGGACTTGCCTCTAGGGGTGTAGCACAAGGTCGACTCGTAGAATCAGGAATGTAATATGTTTTACATCACATTAGCTACTTGAAGTAATGCAACTATGGAAAAAAGATTATGGGCTTTACATGCTTGAAAATGTTTGATATGTTTGATTTTATTTTTAAATTTTCATTTGAATATTCTTTAAATGTTATGTATATGTATTTTAATTTTAGATAATAAGTTTCTTAAACCATTAGTTTTAAAATTTAAGTTTGTATTTCTTATTAATATGTTTAATACTTTTGATGTTTTACATTTCTTTTTTAATTTTTTGGCGTTTTTTTATTTTTTTTACATTGTTTTTTGTTTTTTAGCAATTTTTGTATTTTTGTGCCTTGCTTCAAAAAAGGCATGCGCCTCGCCTTGTGCGTTGGGTGCAAATTGGCTTTTGCATCTTTTTTGTGCCTTGTGCTTTTAAAACACTAATGTTAATCCTGATGCATGGTGTATCGTATTGGTATCAACTTATGACAATACGGGGTGCGCTACGAACAAAAGTATATCCCGTAAATCGTATGTATTATAGGGATATACTTTGATTTGGTGGATTCAGTGAATTCAATTATAATAAACCTACTAAAAATATTATATATTTTTAACTTATTTAATATTAATAACTAAATCAGGTCAGGTTTGAATTAGTTTTAGACTTGGTAGAACTGATTCCATATTAATAAAAATCAGGACAATATATCAAGGACTAAAATCGATTCATTACTTTTAGTTCTTAGCAACATTTTTGAACCGTTGTTGACCCAAACAGTCAGACCGTTCGACCTGAGAACCATCTAGGCTATTGGTTCCGTTTTACCCAAAACTCATCTGGAAAAAAAATCGTTGAAAAAGTCAACTATTGAGTCGGGCGGTCGAATTGTCTACTCATCGACCCGTTCAATAGTTTTTGACTTTTTTTATTTTTTTCTTTTCTGTCATAACGGGCCATCTATTCGAACCAGACGGTCGAACAGTTGACCCGGAAACCGATGACCAAAATGGTTCCGTTTCTAGGTTGCTTTTTTAAAGCATTGGTTCTTAGAACTAAAATCGATTCAATCAGTTCGGGTGCATTGGGTCCAACCCGAACCATTGGCAATCCTAATATCAAATAAAGGAACATATAGAGTCATTTGGATTTAACTTTAATGATATCACCAAAGCCAAGAAAATATTAATTATAGAAAAGATGAATCCGAATGATCCTACCGATTTTGTTGTCACCGCTACTTCATGCAATAACCTAGCAAGGACTCCGGATCTCCTGTCCACGAGAACTCTATTCATGCTTACCCACAATACACTACACCCCGTGAATTGGTAACTTCTCCCCTGAGTATGGAGGGAGATGGGATCTGCTCCTCACATTGGGGAGCCTCACAAGCACATCCACCATGCATTGAAAACATCTCCCGTGAATAATAATTTAAAAATACGGGAGATGTTACCAATGTATGGTAGAATGTGCGTGTGAGGCGCTCCGTGAGGAGAGATCCGGTCTCGGAGGGAGGGTAGTAAGCATCTGGGGTTGGTTTAAAACATTTATTATTACCGTGAATCCATCTTCAAAACCTCCTTTTTGGTAAATTAACCTGAGTCCTGAGTTTCTGATCCTCAGTGACACATGTGCCCAATAAACACCACAAATCCAAACTAACATCACTTCTCTTTTCAGGCCTAATTCAATCTTTATAACCCCCTACCTTAAATAAACATGGTTTAGGCTGGCCTTAATCCTCGATCCAAAAGGTCCTTATTAATTTTACTTGTCTGTGTGAATTCCTCCATGTAAGATCTCAATCAGACGGTTCATACTTCCCAGAAATAGTCTTGGATTTGTTTTGTGGGGCAGATGTATCCACAATCGATGTTCAGGCCTGAAGATGCAGGAAAAAAAATCCTGGATCACAATATAGGGATGGAGATTGACTGGTTCAAAAGGGTTTTAAATCGGATAATGATATTGAACGAGCAAAGCATGCAGCTAATACAATGTTTCCAAACAAACGCGTGGAAGTTTCCACGCAGTGATGACTGATGAGGAGCCCCACAACATTTTCTTATTTCCACTCGGCAATTCTTTATGCCTCTCGAGCTTCATCTTCTCTTTCTTCTTCATTTCTCCTCTTTAAATTACATGCAAATCAAAGCAGAGATTAAACCAAAGCCAACGAGACAGTTGCAGAGAGAGAGAGAGAGAGAGAGAGAGAACGTACGATTTCTGGCTTCTATATACTATATTTTATACAGAGGAGAAAGAGGGACAACTGGGATGGAGGATCTCCCACCAGGTTATCGCTTCTACCCAACGGAGGAAGAGCTAATTTTGTTCTATCTGAATAACAAGCTCGGGGGGAGTAGACAGGATTTAGAACGTGTTATTCCTGTGGTGGACATCTACGAGCTTGATCCATGGCAGCTCCCAAGTGAGAATCTTTGCCTCCTCTAGCTCCTCTTCCTTTTAGTTTCTTTGCTTAGACGGGTACTAGCTAGAAATTAAATTATCAGTCTTTTTGAAGCTCAGCATTTTAGAGTTTTTAAGTAGAAATTGCCTAAACCTGATTCTTCTTGATGAGCTTCACCTCATCATCACAGTCGCTCGTCTTTGTCCCTTGGGATTTTCTTACAGGAAACGACAGGAGAAATTAAAACTGAGCTTTGTTTTTTCTTTCTTGGGTTTCAGAGATTTCAGGAGCTTTGTGCAATGGAGACCCAGAGCAATGGTTTTTCTTCACTCCTAGACAAGAGAGAGAAGCCCGTGGAGGGAGGCCAAACAGAACAACGAATTCTGGATACTGGAAGGCTACAGGCTCTCCTGGGTACGTTTACTCATCAAGTAATCGAATTATTGGTGTGAAGAAAACCATGGTTTTCTACAATGGCAAAGCTCCTACTGGAGAAAAGACCAAATGGAAGATGAATGAGTACAGAGCCATTCAAGGAGAAGCTACCTCATCTGGCAGTGCATCTCCATTGGTAAGAAGTAATCACTGCACTGCACACAGTGGCTCTCAGCAAATTGCTTGCTTTCAAGTTGAACTAGCTAGTCTCCCTTTCTCTCTCCGTTTCCACTGATATCTGACGATATATATACTTCTGTGTTTTGCAGCTAAGGCATGAATTTAGTCTCTGTCGAGTATACGTGAGGTCTGGACGCTTGAGAGCATTCGACCGACGCCCTCCGGCTGCCACAACAAGTCTGGCGCCAATACAACGAGGTAATGTGGAGAGAAGAACAGCTGATCAACAGAACCCTGCAACTGTGGACAAACCCAGCTCACCTGAGAGTTCATTCTCAGGCGACCAAGCTCATCCCTCTCGGCAGAATCCTGCAATTGTTGACAAACCCAGTTCATCATCTGAGAGCTCATCCTCAGGAGGCGACCAAGCTCATCCCTCTCAGCTTGGAGAAAGCATCGACTGGGAGATGACTGAAGATTTCCACTCACTCTGGGAATATTGGGAGCAATTGAATTGGGTATGACGAAAAATAAGGCTCACCCCACCAATTCAGTCGAGAAACAGAATCCAACAAACAAAAACTAGGTTTCAATACGACAGTAAAATGTTCCCTAGCAGCTTACCTACCAAAAATTCAAATAAAAAAAAGAAAATAAATGGAAGAAGTAGAGATGAATGAATACCAGTTTCTGAATCAAGAAATTTTTGTTACTGGGTAGAAACTAATTTCAAGAAGCGTAAATTCTTCTGTGGAGAATGATTTCTTTATGACAATTTTTCAAACGTGAAAAGGATATTAACTTCAGGGTGTTTGGTTGCAATAATAAAATTAGAGAAAAGAAAGGGAAAGGTAGGGAAACCTCGTAACCATGATCACAAGAAAAAAAAAAAGTGGGACCCACACCATTCTGTCATCCATCTGATTGGAATCTATCGCGCCTATGTACGATGCCACGTCATCATCTCTTCCTCTCCAGAAAAAAATAAATAAATATGTAGGGGATAGACCGTTTCTACAAGGCAGGGAGTTATAAAACACGACTTAGTACGCGGTTTGGTGGCACTTGGCACGCGGGAACTCACATCTCGTGTAGCATAATGTGGGCCCAAGGATTAGGGCGTGAAGGAGATGAATTAACTAATAATAAAATTCCACATCAGTAATAAATTCCAGAGCCCCACTATAAAAGATGAGTCCCATATATTTTATCACTGATTAGAACATTTAAAGAGAAGTGACAATGACCTAATTGTCCTATAAACAAAATGGCTACGGGCTACGTATCCTCAACAGCCAGTGTTTCATACATAAGGTATAAGTCACACACCCACGCCTATTATGATATCGGATATCATGGCGTGATTGCTTCTGATAGGTTGCCTAGCCCATGTTGTTTTTAGTTCATTTGGATTCATGTGATAAAATTGGGATAAATCAAACACAACCTAGACATGCAAATGGATCGGATCGGAATCAAATTAGGATATATTTGAACCCGATTGGATACTGTTTATGTCAGATCTGATCTGATCCGAAAATCCAGTCAGATTTGATAGGATTCAAAGAAATAATTTTAGCGCCAATAATTTAACAATAGATATATGACATCTATTTGGAACAATACTTAGTTGTAGAAGATGTAGAAGATGACGACGACTTTGCTATACCTTTCTCACGGCTTCTCTCCTTTTTTTTCTTTTTTTTTTTCGGATAATATTCCCTCCTTTTTTTTTCTACAGTGCTACTTTAATTAGTGCAAATGTGAATGTAGGCTTTTTTTTTTTGCCTCATAACTTTGGAAAAGGTGTCATTCCTAATAAGGGATAGCAACATAAAGTTGAGGGAAATTTTTTAACAAATTTTGCAAAATTCCATAAGCTGTCCCTCAACTTTCTATTCCACACACATCAATAATGTAAACCTTGCATTTTGATGTACCAAAACCACTATTTCTCAAAGGCCCCGTTTGGTTTGCAGGAATAAGGGTCCGAAGGATTTCAATTCCGACTGCAAACCAAACAGACCTTATCGTGGAAAACAGTTGGGTCCTACTGAAAATACTAGCTCAAACTACATAAAAGAAAAAAAAAAAAAAAAATTAATGCCTAACCCATGATTCTCTAACTGAATCAAATGGTTCAACCATTCAATGGTGAAATGAATCCACAATTCTGGCGGATGACAGGTCAGTCGGTCCAAGCAAAACACTGCTGGTATCTATTAAATATTTTAGGTTATATAATATATTACAGATTACTATCCTCTACTTTGGGGTGGTGATAATTACCCTTTGAACTTTCAGATTCTGACAAAGATCTCTCTCCATTATATAAGTGGTTTAGGTTGCATTAGGGGTACAAATGGATCAGCGATCCGATTTTATTTGTTCAAATTCGGATCACCCCTGATCGGATTTTCAGATTGAATCAGATTCTATGATCTGATCAAAAATTGGATTGGATACAGATCAATTCCCCCTATCTGATTCGATGTGTGTATATATATATATATATATATATATATATGTATGTATTATATTTTTATAATTTTATTATATTATTTATTTTTTATAAAAATATGTATATATATGATGAAAATAATTAAAAAATACTTACATTTTTATTTAAATTGATATATTTTATTTTTTTCTTTTAATAATTTATTAATTTTAAAAAAAAAAATAAGTGAGATCAAATCAGATCCAAAGATCTAATAAGATTCGAATTCATAGATATGACATCCATTTGGAACAAGACTTAGTTGTAGAAGATGTAGACCCATTATCTGCTTCTAATTAGTGTTTTGAATAATATGGCATATATCTTAGGTGAACTGAGTGGCAATTAATCTCCAGGCTATGACTTAGGAACTTCTCTTCATAATACTGTAAATCAAATCAATCCATGTCAGCATGCTTTTCCTTTCTCCATTATCCTTTGGGCTCCTCTCATGAAGACAAGTTATAAAGGTTATTATCCATTCACATTAAGCCATGTCATCATGCCTCTCTCCTTTACTAGAGCCCCAATTAATTACCTATGCTTCTAAAGTATAAGATGATCTAAATTATCTCCAACTTCCCTCTATTCTATCCTCTAATTTCTCATAAAAACAGGTCCCATTCCTAGCTAAGTGCTTTTTTTTTTCCTGATCAACAATTCACTTTCCTAAATTTTTGTTTTTATCCTCCACTCTACTTTTAAGATGAAAATAATCATAGTTTATAAATTAATCATAGCTTTAGCGATGGGATATATAAATCGTCACACCAATTTAAATACGCATTTCACAATTGGAATTCTGTTTATAGGATGTGACTAGATCTGTTCTATAAAATAGAGTTCAAATCAGTCTCCCACAAGATTATCCCCCACAACGTCCCACAGCACATTTCCCATGTATTGGGAACATTTATCATCGGGAAATGTTACCAATACACGGTGGGAGATGTGCTGTGGAACGTTATAGGGGTCAATCTTGCGAGAGGCTGATTTGAACTCTATAAAATATGCTAAAGCCTAAAGTTAATGTGATCGAAAGATATCTTTTGATTGAAACTCCATTTAAAAAAGTTAGTGATAGGATCAGGGTCTACTTTGTTTAAAAAAGTGTATATTAAAGTTTCAATTATATGCAAATAGGCTTTGATAAGACTACATGGATATCAAAATGCAACTTGATATACATGCCATTAGCACAAGTGTTGTTTGGCTATAAATTTATGTATGATACACACATATATGGATATATAATAGGTTTCAGATAGCATTTCTAAGATGTAGATACTAAGGCCATGTTTGGTTCAATTTTTACTCTTGTGCATTCTTTCCAATAATAAAAATTCTAGAATGGACAAAAATGTGTAAAAATGGGTATAACTAGAAAAGCTTTTGCATTTGGTTGCATGGAGAAAAAAAATAAATGATAATTTAAAGGAAGCAATTATCACCTATTTAAAACTAAATAAAAGGAAATCAGTTTACTCAATTGAGAAGGCAGTTGTGCAAATGAATAAAAGAGCTTGGAACTTTCAAATAGAAATAAAATTTAAAAATTGCAAAATAAAAAATGAAATTAATAACACGAAGTACAATTTGTCTAACAACTTCATCAAATTGATAATAATATATCCAATAAAGATAATATACTAAGAAAGTCGTAAAATATATATAAAAAAAAAGCATCATAAAATCATGCCCCACATTGCTAATTTTCATTCTTCAAAGAATCTCTATGCTAGCAGTCTCCTAGGTCTCAAAAACCGTCAATATGGATTTTTACGAGTTCAGCTTCCGTCAGGGCAAAAGAGCAGCCTTTACAGCTTTACATTGAGAATATCTCATACTTATATGTTTTATTTCATGGAAAGATATTCCCAATGCAAGGTTACAAATGGTGGTTGGAACAGTGTGGGCATGGGCTTGCCATGAGGGAAGCCGATCTCAATTTTTACTGCCTAATGGCCAACATGGCCAATAGCCAATGTCCTTCGCCAACAAATACAATTTATACAAAAATACAAAAACTTTTGAATGTGAAAACTCTGCACTTGGTGGTTGAGCTAGGGTCATCTTTTTTATTTTATTTTGGGTAGCTCTTTGCAATCTATGCATTCCAAAGATGTAAAGAATTAATTAATATTATTTTGAATATAAAGAATTAACATAAAAATATATGCATATCATATGCAAAATATAATTGTATATTTTGAATATGTGTATATAATTAATATTATAATTAGTAGGATATTCTATCGGTGGGGGCAGGTTCAGGGCAGGGCACCCCTCTCAAATCCCCAAATTTTTCTTGTCCCAAGGAAGTCAGCTAAAAATATGTCAAATTTTAGAGTTATTTTAGAAATATGGTTATGAGAATTTAGAAGTATTTTTGAAATGGGATTTTAGGAATTTGGGGGAAGTTTAAAGGTATTTTAAAAATTAATATTAAACATAGGGATATTTTAATAATTTACCATCAAATTTAAAATAGGTTTGGGAAATTATATGCAAACATCATCCCTTCAACCCTTCCCTGTCCTTATTTGTGATTGGGAAAACCCAATTAAAGTTTTGTGGGGCCTCGATTTCATGGAAAAATTGCCATCCTTACCTAATTGTACCTCTACTTATATTAATTTATGATTTCTTCCAAAGAAATAAGTTACTTTTAATCCCTTTTATTAGCACATTAAACATCAGGTTTTCATGGGCCCCGCTAGCTAATAAACGAAACCTAACTTGCCTTCCCATCTCAAATAGAAGAGTAATAAGTACAAGCATGGTTTTTAAACCGTCATTGATCCAGACAATTAGACCGTTCAGCCTAGGAATTGTTTAGACAATCAGTTTCGTTTTACCCCAAATCTGGTCTCTGGTAAAAAATCGTTGAATCGATCAATAACCCATTGACCTGGGTGATCAAACCATCGATCCGTTCAATGGTTTTTGGCCGTTTTTTTTTATTTTTTTTTTAAAACAAACCATCCATTCGGACCAATCGATCAAACCATCGACCTAAAAACCAGTGACCAGAACGATTGGGTTCCAGGCCGTTTTTTAAAACATTGAGTAAAAGACTTTCAATACCTCGCATGGGTCATCGTTGTGGGTCCGATTTCTATAGTAAAATGGATAAAAATCTAATTTAATCTCCTAAATCAAATAAAAACTCAACCCATATTTATCACTTAAATAATGGGTCCCGCACAAAATTGACAGGAGTAGACAAGTAGAAGTAGTTGCGCCTAATGGTACGGGGTGGTCAACTAGTCATTATCTAGCTTAGTTAAATTAAAAGGGAAAATATGTGATAGGGAAAATATATGATAGGGAAAGAGTTTTGACCCAGTGAGTCAATCGGGTCAACCGCCATGGTTATGGAGCGATAACACTTTATTATTGGTAACGTGGTCTGTGCATTATTTTTGTCGCTGGAAGTAGCCTCAAACCGGTCCCTGTTAAGCTTTAGTTTTATTGTTCTAATTGATTGATCGTTGCACTCGTACAAGTTAGAGTTAGACTATACTACGACAAAATTTGCCTTTCTCAGACCTCTTTATTGCTACCTAAGATATAGATGCTTTTGCACCGGCATTTGTATCAGGACTTAGACTTGGTAACGTTTACTACACGGTTTTGTTTTGGAACGCAGAGCTTCCTGGCATTTGCCCTTTGTTTAAGAACGAAAAGGACCCTTTCTAACTGATGTACTCGTTCTATCAGTAATACATAAAATAGGGGTGCAACTTGGGTGGTTCGGATTAGGCTTTTCCGCTTTTGTCAATATTTGAATGGATTCAATCATGGTTTTTAAAATTGGACTGTACCAGAAAACCGGGAATCAGTCAGGTGATCGGTTCTATTTTATTCCAGAATTATTATTTCGTTAAAAACCGTTGATTTGATCAGCAAATCATTGACTCAGGCGGGAATCAGTCTGGTGAACTGTCCAACGGTTTTGACCTTTTTTATTTTTTTATTTATTTTTTATTTTTTATTTTTATCAGAACAGGCCATCTGTTTGGTTCAACCTAGAAACTGGACCCCTAACTGATTCGTTGTCCAGTTCAGTTTTAAAAACCTTGAACCCAACTGCACAACTTGAGCCTGAAACAGTGTAAAATGATAATTCAAGACGCTGAGCCCAAGGTCAAGCTCAACCTGTCCAATTCAGGCCCAACCTGCACTAAAATTTAATACTCAGATTGGGTCCCAGGCCAGGCCAAGCCAGGCTTAGGTGATTAATCAGCTTGGGTTGGACCAAGGCTGGGCTAAGTTACTGTGGACTAGGCCTAGGCCCAATCCAATAAATAAGAAAGCCCAAAATTTCAAATGGGTTTATCCAAGGTTAGATTGGAGCAACCCAAGTTGCACCCATATTTTTGAATTTGGTCCCTCTCTAATTGTAAGTTGGACCAAGGCTGGGCTAAGTTCAAGTTGGGCTAGGTTACTTTGGACTAGGCCTAAGCCCAATCCAAAAAATAAGAAAGCCCAAAATTGCAAATGGATTTATCCAGGGTTAGATTGGAGCAACCCAAGTTGCACCCATATTTTTGAATTTGGTCCCTCTAATTGTAAAGACACAAAATGCAATTTGAATTATTACATTTCTGTTCATTCAATTTCCTCTCATTAAGTACATTTGATGTCACAATTAAGTAATAATAATAATTAAAAAAGAATTCTAAAAACATTTGATCACATCTCTACTATCGTATATTCATAAAGTGAGGTGTGCCCAAGGTTCAAAATATTGATACACCAGATACACCCCTGCTGGCATATCAATAGTTTTTTTTTAATTTTCTTTCAAATCCAATTCAAAGGGGCCAGTTTAAGGTCCATCCTCCCCCTGAACCGGTCAAAACCCCGATACACCTCTGTAGGGGCATATCAGGAAGCTCTCAATACGATACGTATCAGCTGAAATGGGTTGATACGTATCTATACTTTGAACCTTGGGTGTGCCTTCAATTTTATTCATAAAAAACTAACCAAATAAGTACCATTACCCAACTTAAACCAAAACCAATCCATTTAAATCTACCCAATGAATGATTCATCCCATTCCCAACCCGCTAATAAAGGATGGGTTTGGATGGATTCTAATGGGTTGAGTGCATGTTGGATAAAGATTACGAGTTTACGACCCCTATCTCTAATAATCCAAAGCCATGGACCTCATTACGAGCTTTGTTAATTATTCATTTAGGTATTTTTGCTTAGTGGCCAACAGCTCTCCTTTAGGCTTGGGTCCAAGTCCACCTTGACAGCCATGGTGACTAGCTTATCGTTGAAAAGCTATCATACTTGAACTGGCAACCTCATCTCCTCAGTCCTTCAGGCTCAGTTTCAAAAGAGTATAAATACAAATATTTAGAATGCAAATCCTTTATATTTTATATGTATTTGTAGTGAACATATTTCTATCTTTATTCTTTCCAAACTGAACCTTCGGAATTTTGAAATGCTATCGTACATGGATGGGCTGGGTTGAGGTAATGAGCTAAGCATGTATAAAATCTTCAACTAAGGAATCCAAACCCAAGTTGCACCCCTACCCCCTGCAACAATAGCTATATTTTTTAACTGACTCTTTTAGGGATGAATCGGTTGCTACTACTCCTTTCCTGAATTGTTTCCATTGACTAAATTCATCAACTTCTTTCTGATACTAATCATTTACATTGTCAAACACCCTAATTGAACATTTCTTATGTACTTGTGATGCCCTAACATTTAGTGGGCAGTGAGCTTCATGATCCCACAATTGAAACAGATAACACTAAATGGCACAAAAAGGTTCAAAATTTCGATAGGATATGTTCCGTACTGGGCATATCATATTGTTGGCTTAATGATATGTCCCTACAGGGGTTGTATCGGGGTGTGACCTGGTTCAGGGAGTAGACCAGCCTTAGACCAACCCCTCTGAACCAGTTTCAAAGGAAAAAAAAAAAAAAAAAAAGATGAATGAGTTTTGATACAGGTCAGTATACCCCTACCGATGTATCAGCTTGTATCGATATTTTAAACCTTAAGCACATATTTTACCAAATGAACTAAATTTTTGGAGTGGTTGTCTGGACGTAAAGGCACTGGGATCTTAAAACTCGGTTATGTGGTGAAATTTCATTTGTGCCACTGTAAATGTATGGAGTGCAAAATAAGTTGAATGTAAATTTTGATTTATTTGTCTGTGGGAAATGAAATCGGTAGTAAAATGAAGTAGCCCCCACTTTATATGAAAGAAAATGGAGATATGCCAAGAGTTATTTGATTGGGATCCTGGTAAGAAGCAAGATGATGTGGTGATTGTGGTCACCACTTTATATTTGACGTCTTATTTGAGCAGGCCCAACCCAAGCATAGGCCGATCCAATTTGCAATTTTACGTACATGGGATGGGCTTGGATTTGTCATCCTTGGGCTGGGCCTGGGTGCAAAAGTTTGGACTTGATATAATCCCAATCCGAGCCTAAGCTGATTATACACATCTATAAATGCATATATAGGTACATATTTGCATGTAAACATACATATATGTTTGTAAATTTGCATATATATATTTATAAATACATACATTTTTTTCAAATTTTTGTGTTGTGTTGACTGACGAACTGGAACTAGGCCCGAGCCCGAGCCCGAGCCCGAGCCCGAGCCCAACTTGAATGCATCAAATTTCAATGTTGGCCAGGCCAGGTTGGATATATTAGGCTTGACGGGGGCTCAATCCGGATACAAACAAAGAGAAAATTTGTAAGAGTGCATATTACATCTACAAACAAACAGATGCAAAACTGAACTGGATATAAAATTTGTATTCGGTCCAATTTGCACTGCAAGCAAACAGAACCTAACTGTGCTTTCATGTGAAGCAGAAGCAAGAGCAAGGGCCTCTGTTTCTATTAAATTCATGATACCTGATAATAAATACTAACATAGCATCAACTAATGAAAATTAATCAAGTCTTCAAACCCTCAAGATCTGCAATTTATTCAAAAAAGCAACTGCTATCCAATCTGAGTCCAACGATGACCACCTTACCTGAACGATCTCAGCTATTGTTCCATACCACATAACAGGTTCTATATCATCACCGGACTCTGGTCGAACCCCATTCAGCGGCACTTCCCATATCAAGGCTCTTGAATCGTCCCCTACTGAGCACAGTTGCCGTCCGACGTGCGGCGACCAAGCGATTGCATTCACACTCCCCCTGTGCCTCCTGAGTTCCACTATTGGGTAGGTCGGAAATCGAATATCCATGATCACCACCTTATTACTATCCATCCCAACCGTCGCAATGAACTTTGGGTCAGCCTTGTTCCACTCCACACGCAACAATGGAGTCTCCGGGCTGCTATTCTCGTAGATAATGGTGGAATGCTCCTTGTCTCTCATGTCGAACACCCTGACCGAGCCGTCCCCAGAGACTGAAGAAAAAACTCCGGGCCCTCCCCAAGAAACATCATAGACCTCCTTATCATGTGCCACCAACTGAGATTCGACAGCCTCTTTCTCTAGGTCCCAGATTGTGCAGGTGGTGTCGATGCTACAGGCTGCTACTCGACGTGGGTCGAACTCCGCCCAGTCAAATGAGGTGACAGGTGAGTTGAATCCGCTGCTCTTGTTCCCATTGAGAAGAGCCCTGAGCTCAATCCGATCGTCATGAATCTCCCACAGCCGTAGATAGTCGCCGGACGTTGCAATTATATCAGGGTTCAGTGTATCCTCGGAGGGGAAGAACATAAGCTTCGTTGGCGAGTAAGGGTGGTCGAAGACAAGGCGACTGTCATTAGAGAAATCGGCCGTGTCTTGGTTGAACTGCACCAGCTCCACCTTGTTACTGTATTCTTCCAGGAAGCTTCCAATGGCGAGGCGGTGTTTCTTATCGCGACGAACTGACCAACTTACTGCACAAACCGGCCATTGCGCGTCGTAAGTGTATACACCAGGTTTCTTCTCCATCGAGTTCAGTGAACTCTGGTGAGGCCTGATGCTAGAGACCGCTCTTCAACCTTCCGCCAGGCCGGCCAGACATGTAAGGAAGACAAAGAACCCATCAAAATGGACAGAATATTACACACAGGACTTAATTCAAACACTCAGCAGTCAGCAAAATGCTGCAATAATTACACTTACCCTCCTAATTAGGTATCAACATTTCTAGCTAATAGTCTTCTCTGGTTAACAAAGTTGTCTCAGTTGAATATTCTTTCCCAATGCTTGCCACGTCAGCTACATATACGTGGGTCCTACGTGTTTTACTGACGTGGCATGTTATGATAGGCCGGATTTTGAATTGATTCCGACATTAATTGTAGCTGATCTACTTTAGGGTCAACTAAAATTTGTCACCATATCCTTTGGCATACACATCGGCCAACTTGCCTACCTAGTAAATCTTGGAATTGCAGAAGACCCCACGTGATGTATTTTTCACCTAAGGGCTTCATCACACCCACCAGTCTCCAAGATTAGTAACAGTTGCTCGCGAGTTCGGCTTCGGTCCGGGCTACTTCAGTCAGGGCACCGTCCACGCATCCTCCAATTGTGTAAACGTTTGAAGCATGCCGGGAAGTTGTTTGAAACGTTTGATGCCGTTAAGCCTTCAAAACCCACGCTATCTGAAATTCCACTTTGCTTAAAATCTCTGTTCGTCGCCGGAGAAATGAGAACTCCGGCAATTGATCCTTCTATACATCGCCTGAATGTCCGTATCTCCGTTCTTCGCAATCACGTCTTTCACGAACCTTGCTTTAACCGCTCTTGAAAATGGAGAACAGCAGTTGAAGGTAGAAGAGAATTTCTCTGGTTTTAGTCTCGTTAAAGAACATGCCTCCTTTCAAGATCCAGCCATTAGATGGCCATTTGCTTGAAGAGTCTGTTGTGAAATCGCGGTTAAGCCTGTCGTGAAATCGCGTCTCAAGAGGCTCTTCGAGCGGCAAGAGAAAACACGGTCACAAAATCCGAGTCGGCTCTATTCGCCGGATTCTATACTTCTATTTCAAAAACACGGTCACAAATAAATTCCAGATACATACAGGGTGCGGAGAACCATCAACCTAGCGGGAAGAATAACGAAAGAGGATGTTGAGGAAGCTCTTCGCCGGCGCCAGTGGCACCATGGACCAATGGCATATGATATCAAATCGTCGCTTCTCCTCCATTTGCTCCACCGTCGACTCTATCGTGCTCCGCTCGCTGAAAGAGCACAACCTCGAAATCTCTAAAATGACTCCACCACCAGTAACTCCATCAAACAAACTCTCCCTTCTCTGTATTTCTCAGAAATAGTCGAGCTAAATTTGTGTTGAGCTTCTATTTATCTCCCCTAATTTTGTCTAGGGTTTAAGCACTTCTCCTAAATCTGTCCACGTTTTGTGTTTCACAGAAGGTGAACCCACCGGCTCCTTTCACAATCCTGAAAGGCGCACTCGATTCAAACGGTCCTGTGCTCCGACGAACTTATGGCGATGAAGAGATAAGTATATCAGTTATGCGGTTAGCCAACATTGTTCCTGGTGGTGGAGATGAAGATGAGGACGGCATTAATCGGTTATTCCTTCATGTTGATGCATCGAAGCCCGACCGAGAGGATTCCATTCATTTCTTGTGTGGGCTTTATCCAGATGCATTGGGAATTCACCGTGTTTCTATTGCGTCCTAAGCTCCAGTCTTCTCAATTTCTGGTTGTTCCTAAGAAATATAGTGGTCCGATTTTCCAGTAAGTCTTCTTCTTATTCTTAACTTGTTTCTCTTTATTTTTCTGTTTATCATTTTTTTGTTCACTTAAGTACAGGAGAGGGAGAAGAGAACCGTTGGGTGGATGGAAGCAGAGAGAGGAAGAGAACCTGCCACTCGAGAGAGAGGAGGGGACTCGAAAGGTGGGTTTTGAAAGCTAACGGCGTCAAACGTTTCAAACAACCTCGCACATGCTTCAAACGTTTACACGATCAGAGGACACGCGTCCTCCAATCACGCGAACGGTTTTAGGAATAATCAAAGCCCCACTGACACCGATATTTCTACAGATTTCAATGGTTTTAGGAATAAAGAGAAGAAGATCTTCAGTTTATGACCATCAGTTCATCACAAAGTTTCATAAAATATCAATATTTGGAACAACTTCATTACCTGTAATTTTCTCGATCGCAAATGTGTCTTTTTCCCCGTAGGTTTCCCGGTCACTCACGGGACCTGCTACAAACAATCCCTGTGACCGGCAGCAAGAACATATATAACTGTTTACATGAAACCAGAAGTGAACGTCAGTACTCAGTTGATACCTTGCTGGTTCATATCTGGTTATAATGACCGTACATATCAATGTTTTAAAAACCGATTCACAAAAGTAATGCTTTGGCCACCGGTTTTGGGTAAGTGGTTTGAACGGATAACCCGTATTAGTTTAAAATCATTAAAAAAAACGTCAAATGGATCGACAATGAAGGTTTAAAGTATCGATAAGATACTAGTTCCGGCGTATTGTATCGGTACTTAAAAATGATTGATGCACATTTTTTTTTAGTTTTTTTTTAAGTTTGATTTTTTGGGAAGTTTATAAGATGCTTTTCATTATGAAAAAAAAAATAGGGGCTCGAAACACCTGAAAACAGCGGTTCGTACTGTATCTTATCTTTTTTAAAAGATATGATATGATACGCCCTGTATCAGACATAACGTATCGATACTTTAAACCTTGTCGATAATTTCATTGCCCGAGTCAGTGGGTCACTGATCAAGTCAAAAGTTTTGGTCAAGGAATAAGTTAAGAGTGAAACAGAACCAATTGCTTAAACGGTTCTTAGGCAACTGTCCCAATCAACGTGATTCGAAAACACTGGTACAGATCCTTGAGCATGTTTATTTCTCCAAGAGAATTATTACACATAATGGTAAAGCATAACCTAGAACCTATATCGTAGAAGTTTGGTTCCAAATTTGGAACCAAAACCTATTCTATCAAGATTAGTTTAACGTTGATTCGGGCCTTGTTGGTTTTTCAGTTTTTTTTTTTTTGTGGAACATGTTCTTTCTTTAATCCTTACCGATCTTGTAGAAGTTGGTTTCAGGCTTTTGGAACCAGAACCTATTTTATCGAAATCAGTTTTAATGTTGATTCTGGCCTTGTTGGTTTCAGGGTTTTCTTGCGGAACCTGTTCTTTCTTTAATCCTTTCTCCCAAAAAAATGGAACATGTTTTTTAAAATCTTAATTTTCATCAATAATAATATAGTTGAAAATTTATCATTATAATTTAAATTTTGTGATAACTTTTGCATTAGTTATTATACATATTCAAATATTAAATTGAAAAAACATTGATCAAATCACTCAAGTGATTAAGGAGGTGTTCAACTAACATGGTTGGTTTTGTTTTTGAACACCCCCTAAATGGTCAAGTAAGACCATGGAACATGAGTCTTGGGTTCACATCTTTACATCCTCAAAGTATTTTGGGATTTATTTTTAGACAAATTTGGTTCCAAGACTTATTCCACTAACATCAACTAAGGAATTGGTTCAAGTAGCGTAAACTCCTAGAATCTATAACTGGGTTGGTTCTAAGAATTTGAAACCAGACTATCTAATAACAGATTGGGTAGGGTCAGTTCTAAGCATTTACAACCAGACTCTACCCAGTAATAGGCTGGATATATAGGGTCAGTTCAATGCGGATACAAGGTTGGTTCCATTTGATTCCAAGTAGAGCCTAACCATTTACTCACCCCTAATTATACATCTAATTGGATGCAAACTCATTTGTGGAACACATTAATTTTATACATTTTTAATTGTATAGAGAAAATATACATTTCTTGCGTAGGGAATTACTCAATTACCCCAAACTGAGTTCAATTTCCTTCCTTCCATGAAGTCCCTCCTGTGTCCTGGTGCATTTAGATTCATGGAAGGAGTGAAAGTGAACTCCTACAAACCCAAGAATCCCCAAACCCAGATAAAACCGAGATTCATCCCAAGTCTCAACTAGCAACCAGCAGGAGAGAGCTAGCAGCTGGCACACCTCCATTAGAGTGTAAAAAGAGTTCTAAAATGGAGAAAGAGGAAGTAGCAGAAAAAAACGATCGATAAGAAGATATGCTCATTCATCAATTCTTTCTATATATGTTAAACAAAACAGCAACCAAATTAGTCCAGCCAAAGTGGGAGAGAGTATAAGTTATTGGTTGAATGCACTGGTTTGTGCAAATGCTGAAAACACAACTAAACAATAAAGAAGATCTGACTTACATTGTGCTCAAATGTAGCCTTCAAAACCTAACAAAGTTCAGAAATCTTCATTTCCATCTTAAATCCAGAGAGAGAGGGGGGGGGGGGGTTTATGTTGTGATGAATGGGTTAGAGAAATTTGAACGAGCTATATATAACACAAGAACAGTCGTAACTTATGAAGTAGTGGAGAGTCTGGAAACTGGGGAGGGGAAGCTGCAGCGAATGGTCAATATTCGCAAGAATGACAAGATGGGGTGTTGGTTCAACAGACGGTCGGACTCATGCATCTACTTCCCAGAACTCTGTGACGCGTAAGAAGTAAAACTTGGGATTCTTTCCTTCCGACGGTGGATAACAAGGCCACGTACGCCACAACATGGATTGGGTGGGCGCCTTTGATTCTGCCTTAGTAGTTGGTAGTGAACTCATTACTCATCTCATCAAGGTCGAGATTCCATCCGCGCTTCAGAAATGTTATTCTCTACCTTTCCAAAATAAAAGAAGGAGCTCGCATTGTTTCTCTCAATAAAATGCTTACACACCAGAGATTGCAATAAATTCTAAGGCATTGACATCACATAGTCGCAGGGCAACAACGCTAAAAAAAAAGATTTCCGAAAAGATATGTTACCGAAAGAGCTTTGACTCAAAGCGTTCCTATGAATTCTGATCAATTTGGTCCTCCGATATCTTATCTTTCCGATATCATAATTGAACCATTTTTTTTAGGAAGAACTCTAAAATCTGGAAACATCTCTTGTCATGGAGGTAGATGTTTCCAATGCACGGCTGTAATTGTTATTGGGACGACGGTTGTTGGAACCCTGATGGAATTTCCAAAAGCCACCCATAGTCAAGAGACGATGAAGGTATGTCACTTTACTAAAAAAACTTGTATATACCCACTCGGTATTTTGTTTATATATATATATATATATATATATATATTAGATTTGCATTGCAAACAAACATGTTCAGTTCAATGTTTGCGTTCTTAGCAAACGCAACCTTAACTACTATCCAAAAATAAACAAACTTACCGCAGAGGTCCTTAATAAAAAGGCAGAGTGGCAACACTGGCTCTATCTCCTCATTGACAAAGAAGAAAATTTAACCCATCTGTCACCGGAGTAGAGAACCAAATTCTGTCACT